CGAGGGGGAGGCGGGAGCCGCCTGGAACGGAACAGAGCACAGGCCGTGAGCTGTCCCCCGGCCCACGGGGGACCAAGGGGCTCTCAGCGTGGAGTTCACTGGAGAGCAGGTGGCGAGGCCTGGGGGGCGGGGGGGGAGGGCAGGGAGTGGTCCCTATCACTCAGGGAGGGAAAGCCCACATCCCGGAAGAACAAGCAAAGAATCAGCAAAGTGAGAACCCTCAGCACCTCAACCCTCAGCACTGGACTCTGCGCCCGCCTTGAGCATCAGAGACAAGAGCTGAGTCCGATCTGTGTGACCCCGGCCCAACCCTGACCCTCAGAATCAGCCTTCCCCCTCACCCCCCTCAGTGTCCAGCGACAGAGTAAATGGTCCTGATTGGCCACTGGACACCGGGGAGCGGCCACAATACACGAATGAAGAGCGATGGACACTAGTGAAGAGATGATTATAAATCCGTTGCCTTTTGGTTGCTGTTAACCCTCACCCAAGGTTATTTTTCCATTGATTTTGAGAGAGAGTGGGAGAGGGAGAGAAACATCGATGTGAGAGACACATCCATTGGTTGCCTCCCGCACGCACCCGTTTGGGCTGGTGATCAAACCTGCAACCCAGGTACATGCCCTTGACTGGGAATCAAACCCACAACCCAACCGTGGTGTTCTAACCACTGGCCCACACCAGCCAGGGCCTAAATCCATTGCCTTCAAAAAAATGAAAGTATTATAACTGTATTCAGAAAACTGGCCACTGAAACACTGCAGGGGTTCAATCACATCTAGGTGACTTTTGTAAACAGTCACCTATAAACCCAGTTTATTACAGAATCAAAAATAAAACCCAAGCCTCCAGGCTCCTTGTGTAACCCGCCTGGTCTAAGGTTTCACACCAGGGGATCCTGATGCCCAGTGTTCCAGCGCCACAGTCCTTGGTGCTTTAGTGCAATCAATACAGCTCTCTCCTGGGTGAAATCTCGCTCAGTTACACGTGTATCCATTTTCCCTCCTTTTGTTTCTAGTCTCTAACGAGAGAGGATGCTTAGTGGGCTATCGATCACTGCTTCACAGACTTCAGCCAGACAATTAGGCCCGTGGCAGTTCAATGGCCCTTTATCAGCCTGTATGCTCTCCAAGCAGGCCAGGTGGCACCTGCAGGGGGACCCTCCCTCCCCAGCCCCTCCCCCACACTGAGGAGGAGCAGCCAGGTGCCCACCCACCAGGGGACTCCAGAGGCGGAGGTCAGATCTGTTACTCTATAGTGTCTTATCCCGCCAAACTCGCAAACTGAAAAGGAAAACCGAGCACTGACTGTTCCCATTTAGGCTTTAATCGTAATAGCAAACAATACACAAACGGCCAAGGAACAGCCTGGACCGTGAGCAGGTGTGTCGTGGAACAGCGCGTCACAGCATTCACCGGCAGAGCGCACAGAAGACCAACGCCTGACCCCGGGGACTGCCCCACCGGGCTCCCTGGGCTGCGCGGAGCCGTGTCCCTGCAGACGCGTCCACACCCTGACCCCTGGACTCAGCGGCTGGGCCTGATTTGGAAAAGGGGTCCGTGCAGATGGAATGGATGAAGTACTGCAAGATGAGGCCCCCAGGCCAATGCCGAGTGTCCATGGAAGAGCAGGACAGAGAGGCAGGGACACACGGAGGGAGGCCGCGTGCAGACAGGGGCAGAGGAGGGAGCCATGGAGGGCCCCCAGCCAGTGTGCTCAGAGGTTAGAGCATCAGCCTGCGGCCCAAAGGGTCTCGGTTCAATTCCCAGACAAGGGCACGTATCTTGGTTGTGGGTTCGATCCCCAGCCCCAGGTGGGCATGTGTGGGAGGCACCCAACCGTGTCTCTCATCCCAGCAGCTGTTTCTCTCTCCTCACTCCTCCTTCCCTCCCTCCCCCTCTCTCTACGATCAATGGAAAAAATACCCTCAGGTGAGGGATACAAAAAAATGCAGGAAGTGGCCTCATTCTTCAGAATCACTACGGCTGGATAACGCGCGTTACTGCGATCCTGACCGAGCCGTGAGCGTGCGCTCCCCCAGCAGGTGCGTCAGCACAGACGCAGATACGTTACCGTTACGGTTACCGCCAGGAAGGGGTTTCTGAGCCACACCCTCTGCTCTGACGGGAAAAGTCAGGGAACCGAGCGGAACTGAGCGGGGTCTTACGTTGCCGTCCACTCCCGAGGGGCTGCTTAGCACGTACTCCAGCTGGAAGACGATGGCGAAGGCGGGGTGATGGACCATCTCGGGGAGTCGGAGGTGGCTCCTCAGGACCAGAGCCTGGTTTCCAGAGCTGGTCAAGGACACAGGGCGGGGGCAGGGCAGGGGGGGCGGGGAGGCGTCAGGCATGGCTCCCGTAGCACACCCCCCTCCCCCCCTCCCTGGGCACTGCACTGAGCTCCTCTGTGTTGGCTCCCAGGGTGACTCCCTAAACCAGGGCCTTTTACTGGGGCCACAGTGAGCAGGTTTTAAACTGCCAGAGGTGTCGGAGGGTGGAGGGATGCGGG